TATTACCAGAATTATTTCTTTTTCTTATTTATTTTATGTTTTTATCTTTTCTTTTAATAAATTCTTTCTCTTTCTTGAAATAATATAAAGTGAAAGCTGGTTTCGGAAATAGTATTTTGGCAAAATACTAGCTTATATTATTCGGAATTTAAAGGCCACATATAGCCGTGAACGGTCTAATTGTTAGTACTTCTTCCTCTGGTTATATCTTAGGATATTTTTAAGTTTTAGTGGCTAGCATATCCTAGTAAAGGTTTAATTCCCCAAACCTCATTGCCTATTGATAACTTCTTATAGTACTTTAAAGGCTATTGAATTTAAATTCCATTATATAAGTTGTTTATTTTTCTTTCTTTTTTTATTCTCTTTAAATAAAAGATAGTCTACTCGATACTCATGACTTTAAAGTTTGCTAAAGCTTGATAGTTTTTAGCAAATTTTACCACAATTTGGCGATGACGACAGGACTATCTTTCCAATTTAAGGGGAATTGTTAAATATATGAGTACACCTTTATCTCAAATTTCAATATTTGGGGAACCAGATTATTCTTTTGCACAAACAAGAGAACTATTAGCTTTATTATCACCATCTTCTTCTTCTATTTCTTCTTTTATTTCTTCTCCTTCTCCTTCTATATCTTCTTCTACTTCTTCTATTACTACTTTACAATTTCAATTCCAGAAGCAACTAAATTATCAAAATAACAACATGGAAAATATGCATGATTTGTGGAATACTGTTTTGGACTATGCTTTGGATACCAATAATGATGATATACTATATATTAATAATGATTAAACTAGCTCTTTTAACAACTATAATCATAACTTGCCAAATAATCAAGGTTTCGGAACTGGTGTTCAATTTACTTCAACTTTTTATCTACAATCACCAACAATACAACATTCTACAATACCACTTCAAACACAACCTATTTCTAATTCACCTCCAGTTACTCATGCTACAGTAAATATCCAACCTGGTAGCTCATCCCAGCCTAATAATAAGAACAATATGCCTACTTTAGATTTTAGAAAACTTCCTGCAGAGACTATATTTGCAAATCCTGAACTACAACAAGTTCTTTATTATTTTAACCGTCTAGTAAAAGCCTTGGAAAAAGACCCATAATCTGTAAAGGAATCACTTCTTGTCCCAATACTTGTTTCTAAAGAAGAGGAACAGGATCCTTTATACTGGTTAAATGAGTTTGAAACCTCATGTGCTGTTAATAATATTCAGGAAGCTCGAATGTTAGTTGTTGTTTCTGTCTATTTAAAAAGCTCAGCACAATCTTGGTGGAGGGCTATACACACTCGAATGAAGTTTTGGAATAATGATGCAAGGCCAGCTAACTCATTTACTCACCTGTTCAAACATCAATTTTGTACTCATCATCAAAAAACCCAATAGCTAGCTAATTTAAGGTCATGAATTCAACAACTAGGTAAAACTGTTGAAAATTATTATGCTGAATTAGAGCAACTATATCAAAAGGTTGATCTTAATAATCGATACCCTATAGAGGATAAATTACGACAATTTATTGATGGGTTGAGGAATGAAATTCAGGAGCCAGTTAAAATTTCTTGTCCTACTACTTTGGCACAGGCTTTAATTCGTGCTAAAGCTGTGAAAGCTACTTTTTCTCAAAGAATGCCTCTTGGAGCATATTTTTAAATAGAGGATATTTTAATTATTATTTTGGCTCTTCATATAATGCTATTAACAATACTCCTATAAATAGCCAAGCTAATAATGAAGTTTTACAAGCTGCTCAGGCTATTTTAAATTATTTCAAACAACAACCATCTCAACCTAAACCCAACTTTTCTTAAAACAATAATAATAGAGGTAATAAAAATAATAACTTTTCACAACAAAATAAAGTTGTTTGTCAAATTTGTGACAAAAAGGGTCATATTGCTCGTGATTGTTACCAAAGGAATAATAATAATAATAATAATCAAGGTAGCAATAATAATAACCGAAATAGAGTAAATAACCGAAATAATAACCAAACCAATAATAACAATCATAATAATAATAATTATAATCAATAGCAAAGGAATAATTTTCAACAACAACAACAAAATTCTTCTACTCCAAATAATTCCAATATTAGTTCTATTTATTATACTCTTTCTGCTGAGGATTTGCAAGGTCTTATTCAAACATCAGCACAGTCTTTAAACTCCTAAAGGCATACTATGAGGGCGGTAGTGCCTGTAATTCTTCTTCTTATGTATTATCTTCTACTTTAAATAATCCTAACAATTTATTAAATATTCCTAATATATTCAATAAACAAACACATATTTTAAATGACAATTCTCACAATATATCTAATAAACAAACACATATTTTAAAGAACAATTCTCACAATAATAATGTAAATCAAAGTCAGTTGAAATTAACACCCTTACTAATTTCTACTGAGGTAAATTCCAAACCAAAGAAAGCTATAGATATAGTTTATTGCAATACTAGTATTGATAATACCTCTTTCTATTTAATTTTGAATACTGGATCACTTACAAGTGTAATGTCAAAAGCTTTTGCTGACAAACTTAATAAATCTATTGAAAAACCCTCCAAAATATATTTATGGTGGGAAAAAACGATCATTAGGGATTATTAATAATATACCTCTTCAAATATCTGATACTATTATTCCTATTGATGTGGAAGTAAATGATGCTTAAGGTTATGCTGTAATTGCTAGTGTGGATTTGCTTAGTAAAGTTCAAGGCATAATTGACCTAAAACATGGACAATTTAGAAAAACAAATCTTATAATTTACCTATTACTTGTTGGGAAAAGCTACAATATAATAATGGTGAGCCTATTTTCCTAAATAATTCTAATAGGTCTAATGACTTAAATACTCAAATTTCAGTTTCTGAAACTAATTCTGATGAAATTAGTGAAGATGAATATGAATTATCTAATGATGAGCAAGAGGAATCTAAAGGATTTTTAGTTATAGGAAATTCTGATAAAAAACTTATACTTAAAATTAGCAATACCCAAATAAAATATAGAAACAAATTTTTCAATAGTTATAATTTTTATTCACAAATAATAACAAATAATCACCAAAAAAGAAAATGTTATTGTGATCAGTTACAAAAAAAATTGTTCTGAATATATACAAGTAGGGGAAGCAATAAGTTGTTTTGTAAACAAGGAAGACTTAGAAGAAACTAATTCTTCTCCTTCAATAGATAATCTACAACCATAGCAATTTTTGGTAAATAATGATCATATGTTCTCTAAAGGAATGAATGATTTGGGAAAAACAACTGTGGATCAACACCAAATTATTACCGAAAATACACCACCTATTCACCAAAAGGCCTATTGTATATCTCCAGCTGAACATGAATTCATTCAACAGAAACTTAATTCTATATTAGAAAATAGACTTATATCTCCTTCTTTTAGTTCATGGTCTTTTCCTGTTGTTTTGGTTAAAAAGAAAAATAGTAAACTAAGACTCTATATTGATTACAGGAAGCTTAATAAAATTACCAAACATGATGTTTATCCTTTGCTATGGATTGATAAAATTTTGAATACTCTTAAAGGTGCCAAATGGTTCTTTACTCTTGACTTGGCTAGTAAATATTGGCAAGTAGAAATAAAGCCAGAGAACCATGAAAAAACTGCTTTTATTACTAAATATGGGCTGTTTGAATTCAATGTTATGCCTTTTGGCTTAACTAATGCACCTGCCACTTTTTAATAAGTAATAGATAAAATCTTTTCTGATCTTAAAAATAAATTTATTTTAGTATATCTTGATAATATTACTATTTATTTATAAACTTTCGAGAAACATTTAGAACATTTAAAGAAAGTTTTTAAACAACTACAAAATGCTGGGTTAAAATTGGGAAAAGATAAATGTTGTTTTGGAAAACAATAGCTAGCTTTTCTTGGACATATTATTAGTGAAAATGGTATTACTCCTGATCCTTCAAAAATTGATAAAGTTCAAAATTATCTTGCACCTAATAATCTTACTAAACTTCAAGAATTTATTGGTTTAGCTTCTTATTATTGAAGGTTTATTCTTAATTTTTCACAAATTGTTCACCCTTTAAACACATTGTTAAAAAAAAATATTCCTTTTATTTGGAATAAAACCTATCAACAAGCCATAAATATCTTGAAGGAAAAACTAACAACTGCTCCTATTTTACAATATTCCAATTTTGAAAAACTATTTATACTTTTTACTGATGCTTCATACCAAGGCTTGGGTGCTATTTTTGCTCAAAAGGATGATGATAATAATGAACATGTAATAGCATATGCTAGTAGATTTCTGAATGCTGCTGAAATTAATTATTCTCTAACCGAAATTGAATGTCTTGCTGCAGTTTGGAGAATGGAATATTTTTGACCTTATATTTATATGAAACCTTTTAACCTAATCACTGATTATTCAGCACTTCGTTGGTTACTAAACCTGCCAAAAGAGTTACTCAATAGATACAACAGATAGCTGATTATCCTTACACAGTTATACATCACAAGAGATGAGTTTACTCAAATGTAGATGCACTTTCTCGTCTTTTTAGGAAGCCACCCTAGAAAAAACATCAAACACTCTAACCAAAATGGAATCTACTTTCTATTTTAACTTTGTGAAATACCTAACAACTTTGGAATTACCCCCAAATTTGACTTTAAAGAAGCAACAACAATTTAAAAAACAAGCAACACATTATATTGTTAAAAACAACCAACTATACAGGAAACTAAAAGGATCTTTACAAAAATTACTATATGTCATTCAGGAATCTGAACTGCTTACTGTTTTATATGAATTACATTCTGATCTTCTTGCTAGACACTTTGGCATTGATGGAACTTATAATTGTGCTAAAAACAAATACTATTGGCCTAAAATATATAAAAGTATTACAAGCTATATTCAAACTTGTGATACTTGTCAACAGCAAGGAGGAACAAAACAAAATCAACTCCTATATCCTCTACCAGTATCAGCACCATTTCACTGAGTAGGAATTGATATTGTTGGACCTTTAAAAATCACCTCCAATAAAAATCGATATATTGTAGTAGCTACTGAATATCTAACAAAATGGCCTAAAGCTAAAGCTATACCTGATATGAAAGCTACTACTATTGCCAAGTTTATTTATGATGAAATTATTATTCATTATGGATATCCTCAAGAGTTATTATCTGATCAAGGTTCTTCTTTCTGTAATACTCTAGTTGATAATATTTGTCAACTAATGACAATTAAACATCAACTTGCTTCTGTCTATCATCCTCAAACTAATGGATTAACTGAAAGGTTTAATAAAACTTTGTGTACTATGTTAGCAAAGTATGTTAGTGACTATGAGGATTCATGGGATACTTTTATTTCTGCTGCTCTATTTTTCTATTGAACTATTTCTCAATCTACTACCAAATATGAATCTTTTGAATTGCTTTATGGAAGAAAAGCTATTACACTATTAGATTTAGTATTAAATTCTACAAGTAATGCTGAGGAGCCACCTTATGAATAGCAACTTCAAGTTCATATTGATCTTATAATGAATAAATTACAGCAAGTTCAGTTAAAAGCTCAACAAAATATTGAAATAGCTCAACAAAAACAAAAGGAAAAACATGATAAATGTGTTAAGGAAATTTTATTTCATATTGGAGATAAAGTATTATTATATCGATCTGCTCAAGCTAAAATTCATGGTGATAAATTTCAATAAAAATGGAAAGGTCCTTATTATATTCATGATATCATTGCCCCAGGAGTCTACAAACTTTGTTTTATGGATAACAAAATTCTAAAAAGAGCAATTAATGCCAATTGCTTAAAATTATATTTTGATCGACCACTATGGAAACCTACTATAGTTATTAGTTGAAAACAATAACTTATTTTCTTTTTTTTTATTTTTCTTTTTATTAAAACTTTACTAAAAATTTATTGACAAAAAAAAAACAAACCAAAAAAACAAACCAAAAACACAAAACACAAAACACAAAACAAAAAAAAAAAAAAAAAAACAACAACTCTTATTTTTTTTAATTTTCTTCATTATTATTACTATTAGTAATATTATTATTATTATTACTATTATCTTTTCTTTTATTTTTATTTTAATCATTTGTATTATTTATAAACTTGAGTCGAAGATTTTCTGTTTCCAATTCCCAAACACACTTTTCAAGGTCTTTAATCTTTGAAGGATGTCTTTTTGGGACTTTCTTTTCTTAAGCCCAGCATATATATCGTTTAATTTGGTACGCAAATGAGCACACCCAGGATAGCTTGAACCACTTGCAAACTCATCTGTTTTCTTTTTTAAATAGACTAATGAACTTTGAACGGTGGCTACAGTATCTTGTAAGGAGCCAATATGGGTTAACAAATCTTGACAAGTAATGATAGGATTGTTGGTAGAAGTTGAGAAGGAAGAGGCAGAGGACTAAATAGGCTTAAACCCAAATTTTTCAAGAGACATTTTCTTTAACTAAAATATATCAAAAGTTTAGTATTATGTTTTTGTTTAAACAAAAATACTAGCAAAAAGAGAACTATTATTTCATAATAGAGGAAACAAAAAGAAAATGCGCAAAAGAAAAACAAAAAGGGCTAGCTATACAATATTTAATATTGAGATATGATCCTTTTCCGCTTTAACCTGGGTACCCAAGGAGTCAAACTATAAAGCAGAAAGCACCAAGCGATCTAGTAAAAAAGCAAAAGTTTTTCTATAAACTAGTATGATAATCATAAATAGTAAAATTTAAAGACAAAAAATAATGAACAAAAGATAATAACCTTGCAAGTGATTTTTGGGAAATATAGATAGAAAGTTAATTTGCGGCTGAATTGAAGAAAAAAAAATAAATCTTTTTTAAGTGATATTTATTTTTATTTTCCGTTATATTAACTAGAAATTTTAGATCAATTAAAGTTTATCATAGCATCACTTAATATGATAAACTACTATAATTGACGATTATCAATGAAATCAAAAGCTAAAAATGGAAACTAAGTCTAATTATGAATTGATAAATTACAAATTAAAGTTTATGACTCATTTGTATTAAAATTAGTAATGAAAACTTTTAGAATCTTATTGATAAAAGTTAAAAATAGAATAGTATATCATTTTGATTTAATGCTTCGGAGGACCTCGCACCTTAAAGGAGGGGAATATGTAATAGAATTTTCTTTTTCTTTCTTTTTTATAGTTATTATTATTATATTTTATTAGTTTATACTAG